GGACTTTTTTTTATTATAAAACTTACCCTGGGAAGATTTGGTAGACAATGTAAAGTGTATATAGTGAAAATAAAAAATTTTTTTTTTAAAGAAAAATAGGTTTTTATGAATACAAAGTTATAAATTAATTTCATATTAACTATTTTTATCTAGAAAAATATCATGATCACATTACATTGGTAATACAATTGTGATGTTAAAAAACATTATTGACCCCTGAAATTCTTGGTATTACTAAGGTTTCTGGTCCAAACTATTTTCTCAAAGCCAAACTAGTTTGGGCAATTTGGGCTTTTCGATATTTTTTATAAACATGAACATTAAAAAACTATATCAATCAACTTATTCCAACTTAACAACTTTAAAGTAATTTCACCCAATTTCAGCTAATAACAAAAAATAGTATGGGCTTATAAAAAAGTAATTTTTTGCCCCCAGTGTTTTGGCAATTTCAGCTACTAATTGAGAGAGTTTCAGCCAGAAACCTTAGGTAATACCTAGGGGTAAGTAAATATATGGGGGGACAACTGAATGTTACACATATATATTTGTCAATTTCAAAACTGTCGCCCCTATGAAATTACTAGTGTTTATTAGTAAAAATAAATAAAGCATGAAATGTGTACATATTGTACACCAAAAATTCACAAATTAAGGATAGGGGCCAGTGTAACATACTATACTATGATCGGCATGGTCATACTTTGTTCATATGACTCACATATAAGTGATCATGGGAAGTCCCATTCATTTTATTTTCAAAAATCAAATAAAATAATAGTAAAAACCTCAAAGTTTCATATACTTAAACTAGCATAGTGGAAATTTGAAATGTTACACTAATTTTTTATATTGTGCAATGTAGATTTACAATACAAGGCAAACATTCTGGCAATAAAAAGTAAGTGATAAACTGGATTTGAATTGGATCTGAACTTGATCTCCAATTTATAGAGGTAACAACTATATACTGGTGAAGTTTCAGGAGCAATGAGTTCTGTATGACATTTCGTGTAACAACAAACTTCCACCATGCTACTTAAACTTCTTTGGGTGTTATTACGAAACATTTGTGTCTTCGCTTAGTAGTAAGTCATAAAAAAGTCATTAATTATGGTCCTTTTCCACCAATTATGGATTGCTTCAACAACACTGTGTGTCATTTAACCAGACTTTGTCTGAATGTAATGTGACCTTGTATCTATTTATTTTGTTATAACAGCAAGGTTTATTAACTATATGTTTTTAAAATTTTACTTCGGCCTATGCTTTTTTATATAGAATTCACAATTATCACATTCAAAATCTAGATGCTTTGGTATGAACAACTGCAAGAAAACAATCCAAATATTACTTTACTTCGAAGAATAGGTCATACATATCTGTTGCATGATGATAATGTTTCTTTGGAAAACTTTCCTCAACACAGTAATCTATCCATTTTTGATAAAGAAAATAAAGAAAATCAAGGATTTTATTTATTAGCAAAAGTTGAAGGATTTCAGGCAGAAAATTGTACCAATACCTGGGAAAAATGTATTTGTTTCTATGAGAACCAGAGCAGGAAAAACATTTTGTTATGCAGCATCAGCATTGATAAGATCTGGTCTAACAGTTGTATTATCTCCATTAAAGGCATTAATAGATGACCAATTGGTAATTATCTCTATTTAATAAGTATAGTAGACAACCTCAATGATATATATTAATTATTTTTTTTTCCAATTAGATTGAATTTATAAACATAGGAATCCCATCTGCAAAACTATATAGATCTGAAAAGCAATCGTTGACCTATCAAGAAAATTTTTTATCTGAAATTGGTTCTGGATTAACTCGCATTTTGATTGTCACTACTGAAAAATTTACTAATAATTTTACCTTTCGGAATATGTTAAAATCAATTAAATCTTCTAGAGGATTATCATTCATTGTGGATGAGGCCCATTGCATACTAAATTATGATGGATTCTGGTAAGTGTTTTTTATAAATAAAATTATAAATAAAAATATACTAATTAATTAATTTTATTTTCAGTGAAAGATATAATAATTTAGATTTAATTACAAGAGAATTTTCTGATTGTCCAATAATGCTATTATCTGCCACAGTTTCACCACATGATATAAATGCAATATGTAATAAAATAGGAATCAATGATGCAAATTTGTGTGTTGTTTGGGGAAGTAACATTAGGAGACAAGAAATATTTTACACTATACAACAAAAAAAATCAACATTTATCAATGACATTATTCATATTATTTCTTCATCCAATGATTGATTTATTATTTATGGACCAACTTATCATTGTTGTGATGAGGTATATGAAGTAATTCAAGAAAAGTTGCCAAATATTAAGGTTGGAAAATATCATGGAGATGTACAATCAGATAAACAAGAAGAAGTTTTGATTAACTTTAAAAAAGGAATTTTACAAGGTGTTATAGCAACTCCTGGTTTTGGCATGGGAATAAATATTATAGATATTTGTAAAGTGATTCATTTAGCATTTCCTTTAAGCATAGGTATAAACTTATTGTTCATGAAAAATTAAATGTCAGTTTTTTAAGTCATTGAAAAAAATTTTTTATTAACAATTAATTAGGGAATTATATACAAGAAAGTGGAAGGGTTGCAAGAGATGGAAACCCAGGCCAAAGTATTTTATTTTTTTCTCATTCAGACTTAGGCACATTATTTTCAGTAATAGGAGGTGGAAAAGAAAGGTATAAAATCATATATTTATGTTGCAGGAAAAAATTCATTATTTATTATTCATATTCTCCAATATTTATTAATTTAGTGTCTCCAGAATCAAATAGTGAATTCATAACTGAGAGAAATCATAAATTATTAGATATGATTTTTTTTTGTGAAAATCAGTATATCTGTTGTCAAATCTTATTATCAAATATTATTCACAAGGTCAATCAATAAATAACACCTTTTGTAACAATTGTGACAATTGTACTTGTAGACAAAAGGATAATCCAATTCAATTTGATGTAGAGGAGGATGCCCTGCTAATGGTAAAAATTGTGAGTATCCTTGTAAATGAAGTATCTGAATTGACACACACTGATATTGGATATGTTAATACTTCAGCCAATAATAGAGAAGTACATGCTAAAAAACTTTCAAAAACATCTGTTTACAATAATAAGTCACTTCATCCAGCAAAATATATAAAAAAGCAATCACAGGCTCTTTTTTTGTTAGATTATTTGATTATTCATGGTATTGTAACTTATAATATTATTTTAAAATTATCAAAAACTAAAAATTTTATTAGTGGAAAATATCATCTTTCTCATAACATGTTTATTAATGGTATATGTGAAGGTGCAGAAGATAAAGTAAAAGAAGGGAATTGGAAATATTTTTTAAAATAGTAATAGATAAATTTACTAAATAAAAATGTGATAAATAAAAAATGATTGTCAATTTGTTTTGAAATATCACATGTAGCACAAAATTTTTTGACATATAATTTATATGTTATGATCAAAAAGCATAGTAGAAATTCTATTTTGATCGACATTTGCAATTATCACATTTCCATTTCAGTATATGATTTTCGTGTTACATAATTTTATGAAACTTGCGATTAGTACAAAGGCCATTTTTCGTTCTTGGTTCCAAGCAAGCATACAATAAAATATTGCCATTTTTGTATAATAATAAATCAGAATCTAATTCCTTTTTTTTTTACAAAGATTGTTTGTTAAAATTAAAATTTGATTCTTTTTGCATGTCAAACTCTTTGTTAAATAAGTTTTCTTTTTTTTTCACATACATAATGTATAAAAGACTTATTTGATGTAAATTTTTTTATATTTAATAAATAAAAAACTCAAATATATAAATCCTGTAGAAATTTCAAGTTCAAATAAATTAATTAAATTTCATCAAATAAATCATTTAAAAAAATAACCAATCCAATTATTTATTTTAAAATAACAATCGGGATCGCGTAACATCTAAAATTTGTTAAATTAATATTATAACTATGCCAAGAGCAAAGAATATAGGACCATGTACAATAACCAGTTGTGAAGGAACTAATAGATTTTACAAAATGACTTGTTATACTATTGAGAAAATAAGATTTAAAGATTTAGAAAATAAATATAACTTTATAAAAGAGGGTGACCAATTATGCTCTAAACATTACCTGGATATAGTTGAGCCTGATAGAAATAACAGAAACAAAAATTCTAGTGAATCAAATTTTCAAAGAACTGATGATTCATATAGTGGATCTTCATCTAGCCAATTAATTAATATGTCTACTAATGAATTGGAGTGGCCAGATATTAAAGTTAATTATACCAATGAAAATGTTATTATGTCAAGGGAAGATTTTTCATTATTAGTCAAAAATATAGAACAAATGAAATTCCAGCTTGAAAATCAACTCTATTACATGGAGGAAAATGAAGATTCTAGTTTTGATAGTGAAATCAATAGTGGTAATTTATCTATTTATTTTTTTTTAAATGTTGATTAATTTAAATAATAATTTAATAATTTATTTATTAAATAGAAAATGATCCTACCTTTGTATCAAAATTTGAAATTTTAAGCAAGATCCTTTACAATCAGCAAAGAAAATTAAAAAATAATATCAAATTGGATCCTGAGGAATTTTCTGATATGATAACACAACAGGATGAAAGATTAGAAGGTTTTTTTAATGAAATGGTTGAAGCAATTATTCCAAGTGGAAGAAAAGAAAAAAATAAAGATGATGCTAAAAGATCAATTGTAGCATTTTGTTATTTGCTGGCAGGTCTACGTAATAAATTCATAAATTCTGTAAAACTTGATATTGGTTTATATCTTGTTGCTGCAGGAACAAGTTGTACTGCAATAGACACTTTGTCTAGAATTGGGATTACAACCAGCTACAAAACTATTGAGAATTATAAAAAACAATTAGCAAGTGATCATCCAAAAAAAATTAATGAATATTTTCATGAAAATGTAAGTAATAAACAACCCAATTAATAATTATATTTAATTTCTAAAATACTTATCATGTATATAAAAATTTTAGATGAATAATTTGTTTTGTTTTAATGTTGATGATTACCACTCTATACATGGCTGGAGACAGCCTAATTCTACTTCACTCTCCACTGTCAACCATATGGCAACTGTTGTGTCAAAAAAAATTGAATGTGGCCCAATTCCTGAAATTTATAATGGAATATCCATATTCAATTCCAACAATATTGAAGCTTATAGAATAAATTTCCAATTAATGAATAATTTCAAAGGAGTATTTGATCAAAGTTATAATGATAGAAAAATAAGGTGGACCTCTTCAAACTTACAACAATCATTAGAGTCCAATAGAACTGAATTACTTTCTATTCATTTTTATAATCCTTTAATTGCTGAAAGGAAACAAGACAGATCCATGAGTGAAACAAGAATAGTTCAATTCCAACAGAAAAATCTACATTCATTAGATGACTATGTGGATGTTCTGTTATCAATAAGTAGAATAGAAAGTATTTCTAGATATTTAATAAATAATGTCATACCTGTTTCAGCTGATTGGCCTGGACAATTATTTATTAGAAAAGCCATAACCAAAATTAATTATTAGATAAAATTAATTTTCTTGATAATATAATAATAATTATTACATTTACAATATAAGAATCTTATAAAAAAAAGTCTATTCTCTGTCTACTTCTAAGGTATGTATGATACAATCTATTGCATTTGGTTCTTTCTTTGCCTGTTGAAGCCTTGCCTAATGACAAAAAATTTTGGCAGGTAGTTTGGCACTTGTGTATGATAGGGTTTTGAAAGATAGCTTTATTAAATCTGACATGCAGACTCAATGTTAGACTTAATGTTATTTGTTATTATTTTTTAAGAATTCAGGTTTTCTAAAGGTTTAATTTAAATTCAGGAATGTCCTAATATTGTTATTGCTTTGGTGATACAATTAATCCTATTAGTTCAATATTAACATAATAATAACAAGAAGGATGTAAGTTAATTGAAAATGTTCTTTATAGGTTATACATTTTATGAAGTAAATATCCATTTTTCCTCTTTAATTGATCTTAAAATTAACATTTGGGGAGAGTGTCCCCAAAGTTATTGCTTTTTCTTTAAACAAGTTATTGTAAGTTGAAAAGCTTGTCCAACCACCCAGCCCTCCCAAGTAAGTTAATAAGGTTCATTTAATGACCTGGATGAAAATTTTGCTGACTTTATGTCCTTGAGGGAAAATAGAGTCAAAGTGTGTATAATTTATAAATAAGCCATTTTCTTTCAACATTGTGATCCTGGGAGCATAAAGATTTATAAAAAATCACCAAAGTTTTAAATTCTATAATATTATTATTTCACCCACACCTTCCAAATAATGTATCAAAAATTTTATTAAACATTATTTTACACAGAAACAATTTAATACAATTTTAATCTTTATCATCATGAGTAGCTAGGAGGCGATAATCATTATTGTTAACAACAACTTCATCTTCCTCTTCTTTTTCAAGAAGTTGTTGACCACTTTCTAAATCTTTTTCATTCATGTCAATTTCTTCCACTTGTCTTTGATTTTTTTCAATTTGTTCTGATTCATAATCTTTTATCCAAATGTATAAACAACTTCCTAAAAGAATTATACCAATACTAATGACACGTCCAATAGTAAGAATATCACTGAATATTGTTGCTCCAAGAACAGTTTGTATTACACCACGAAAAGCTGATGATATCATATGTGACATTGGTGATGTTACTTTGATTTGTAAAAATCCTGCTATGTTGATTAAAAATCCAAAAAATCCCTAAATATATGTATATAGGTATAATTAAATACAAGTATTATTTATTTATTTAATTCCCTCAATGCCAATCTCTCTTTCTAACCTAACACACTCTAATAAATTACCGTTATTACAATTCCAATCAAGAAGGTATGAAGAGAATCAAAGGACATTTGATAAATTTGACGTTCTTCACCAGTCAACAAAATCAAAGGAATGAAACAAACAAAGCTTAACAAGTTATTATAATAAACCAAGTCCATTGTATTTTCCTTTGTAATAACCAGACTTTTCTTTATTACAATTGCATGCAATGCCGTTGTGATTGATGAGAATACACCATAGAAGACACCAAGAAGTGAAACTGCAAGTTGTTTTTCTGATAACACTCCAACAAAAAATCCAATACAAACAATAAAACATGATAAAAGTATCATGGATGACGATTTCTTCTTTAGGATAATGAATGTAAATAGAACTGTGAAAGGAAGAACTAAAGCACGTGCAATCTATGAATAAGAAATTAATTTAATTTGGAAGATAATTTTAAATTAAAAACATCTCTCAAAAAATATTATATTTACTTGATAAAAGCTTGCATCAACGTGTTGTAAACAGATGGTGTTAAAACTTAATCCCAATACATTGATCGCAATTAACGGTAATACTCTAACACATATATCCTTTTGAATTTTTGGTAATTGTACTATACCAAAAAGACTTGAAACATGCAAAAGTATTACTGCCGTAACAAGTTGTGAGAAAAGTAAGGTGAAGGGAAGTGCTACACTGTTTAAAACCCACTGATATACAATTATAATTATAGTGACGATGATGACGACGACGATGATGATGATGATGATGATGATGATGATTAATCAATATTTAACTGTTATTATCATTGTAATATTATTCACCTTACCTTATTTACAAAAACCATAACAAGTGCGGTTGTGAGATAAAATGACACCGAGAAAATGACCATGAAATGACTGGCTTGTTTGGGTCTTTTGTCCATTTTTGATTTTTTATATTATGATTTTTTTTTATAATTTGTCTGTGAAAATAATTTCTGACCTATAACTTATAATATATAATTTATAATAATAAGGATATAAATATTACTGTAGAAAGAAGAGAAAGAAACAACGGATAAAAACTTATAAAGGTTTAAGAGGAAAAATCAATTAATCAACTTTTTTTTTTTACAATTCTTCTTATAGTTGTAAGCTCTACTTACTCGAATTGACAATCCAATCAATTTTAAGCCTAAACAATTTTTAGAAGGAAGGGGGCTTGGTAACAATAATATGGAACAATTGTAGCAGTAGTACAACAAGATAATCTTATTATTATTATCATGTTCTATAAAGAAGAAACACTTTTTTGAAGAAAGCGGCTCGACAGATAATTATTAAATTCATACAAAAAAATTTATATTTATGAGGAAATACAAGTATTAAAAGTAATTAACCACCGTTTGATCTAAAATTAATATGGATTTTAAATGATAACGAGGAAAAGGAAAGATCTGAAAATTTTTTAACAGGTGACGAAGGAAAAAAATTAATAAGTCTGATTTCATGCCTGTAAAATATGCAATATAATAAAATTATTCATGAATGAATTGAATTTATTCTTATATATCTTCTTCAAGTTCATCAATTTTTTTTCTTTGCTTCACAAAAGTTGTTTCCTAAAAAACAAATTCATATCACTGCCTTTTCTTTGAAAAAAAAATGGTATAATGTGTCCTTCAGATTGGTTTGCCTATATAAAACGTGACAGTGACGAAGGTATTGGTGAGAAGGCTGCTGAAATAGCCGAAATAATGAGTCTTTATAGATGTTGTGATTTTCAAAAAGATCCGAGTGACTAATAACTCATTTTTCCTAAACTTTTAAAGTATGTTATTAGATTTGTAATCTTTATAGAACATCCAAAGCCATTCACAGAGGATAATAATAGCAATCACTTTTTATTTTATTTTCAAATTCTTTACGAACTTTAGTGTTTTATCGAATGTGTAATAAAGTTTATAATGAGATAAAAATATTTCGTATGTTTTTTGCCAGTGTATTGCTTCTCGTACACACATCAAAGAAAATTGGATTTTTTTTTTAATCATTAAAGATTAAAATCTTCATATATACGAGTTAAACAATTTTCATGTAAAATTCGAATGCACCATGTACAACACTCGCCTGCAAAAAGTATAAATTTTCGTGATATGAATATATATTCATGTGTTTTGTGTTTATAAAATTTTCGTATAATATTCATCGCCTAACAGAATATGGTTTTGAATGTACAAATTTTGCAATTATTTACAACGGTACGCTGACAATGTCCATACTTGATTAGAGAATTTGAGCCCTATACAACTTTACAAAGTAGTATAGTCAAAGCTCGTTATAGTGGATCTCGTTATAGTGGGATTTTGTCTATAGTGGACTTTTTTTATTTCCCCAATTCTCTTTATAATAAAATTTGTTCGTTATAAAATCTCTTTATTGTGTATAGTGGCTTTTAAAAAATTTGATTTATAATGTTAATATGGTTCCTAAATGGTAATGTGTTAACAAAAAAGTTTTTTTTTAACAATAAATTAATGTTTGTACATTATCCTCTTTTTTTTTACTGATGAAGAAATTATTAGAGCAGTGGAGCCAAATCCTGAAGAAGTGGAAATGATGGTTATTTCTGATAAAGAGGCATCAATAGTTTAGAAAAAGTGATTCGATATTTAAAAAATCCACCAGATAATTTTACAATTAGCTATCAAGAATTTAAATCAAAAATTCATAAAATATGTTCAGGATAATGCAAAACAACTTATGTTGGACAGTTTTATTTTATAATTATTTACTATGTATATATGTTACTAATAAAAAAACTGTCCTATTTATTTATAATGCTATAAAGAGATAGTGGAAATTCGTTAGAGTGGACAAAAATTCCTGGAACCAAGCGTCCACTATAACGAACTTTATTGTGTATTTGAATGCAATTAAGGATTGAAACAATGTTTCCAAATCATAAAAATATGTTTATTTAATAATAGACGCATGCTTCCTATTATGCTGCCATAACACAAGCATAAAGCCATCAAAGTACTCGCACTTCCCTCTGAAAGACATTTTCCATTTCCATTACATATCACCATTTTAGCAGTTTCAAAGTTGGGTTCATTAGGATAGTGTACATGCTGCGAGAATTTGACTTTTATGTTATTGAATACGATCCACTCGTCCTATTAAAAAATAATGGTAATTTTTCTATTTGAAATGTACTTTTTTAATAACAATAGGTTTTCTTTAAAAATTAATCTTCTCAAATAAATCAATTGATAATAAACCGTCATCAAATTGTGGATGCCCAAAAAATACTTTCACGATTGAATAACTTCAATTCTTTTTTACATTTAAAAAATAGCAGCAGCATTGATAAACAATTTTAAAGAATACAAATATATGCATTGTTTACATATTATTATAATAATAATAACGTTCAACAAGAATTTATATTAATATTCTGAATTTAATTGACGAAGAATTTAATAATAATAATAATAAATAAACAAATTTACTGTGACCTAAACTAAAAGGACAAATCCAAAAGAACAACCTTCTGTTTGAATTCAAAAAGTTTTATTATAAAGATACTTCAATGAACTAATTATTTCTTCGCATTCCATAATGGATTCAATAGAAACTGGACAAAAAATCAACCGAAGGTAAATCTGGCATTTTAAATTTCCTCTTAATTACTAACGAGTTAGTGCACGATATATGTATAATTTGCATATGTTTTTTAATACATTCAACTATATGCTTATTCTACAACCATTTTGTATATGGGAACTTAAATACTCATATTAATTTATTATAATTTCAGAAATAAAAGACCAAGACAAATATAATATGACTTTGCGATAACATCATCTTTAAATTTTTTTCCGAATAAAAAAATGTGCCAATACTAATATTTTATGGGTCTAAGGTCACGTGTCATAATTTGGAGCTTTCCTGCCTCGAGTTTTCACTAGTTCTAATATAGGAATGGCATCAACTTGAAATTGCTGATCATATTAGCATGGGGGTTTCAATAGAAACAGGGGAGACAACTCTGAAAAACACGAATTAAAAATTTTAAAATTTAGTAATAAAATTTTTTTAAAAGATGGGTGTAAAAAAACCTGCCACAAGACCTGCCGTAAGAGAAGATTCAATTTATTAATTTATTAAAAAATATACATATATATATTATATATTTAGAAAGAATATAATTTTTTTAATATTATGGTTTTTTAATATATTGTTTGCAAACATTATATATGTTTGAACGGTAGTATGAATTCAAGCAAATGCTTCGAGATTCAACTCGGCATAAATCACAAATCGCTGAACCTCGAAAAATAAAGTCTAAAAGTATAAAAAAACCAAAATTTCTTGAAATAACTTCAAAACTTCAACATACTATCAACAATGATAATGATGGTAAAACATCTAGCAGGATTATTAGAACAAGCAAAAAAGACAAGGAGGCGGATGCTGATATTTCTACATCATCATCATCATCAATATCAACAAAGTCAGTACCAATAACGTTAACGGATGCAAATACAAATGGAAATATCAATGCTAAATACACGACAAATAATAATAATGGTAAATCAAAAACAGGTTTAGCATCAACGAAGCAAAAATTAAAGGCCGATGAATATGAAGAAGAGGAGTCACAGACTGGAAATGTTAATAAAAAACAAAGTCTTTTCACAAAACAACATAATTTAAGATCTAGGAAAAGAATACCAGAAGTTTTGGTAAAAATTTTTTTTGCAATCAAGAAATTGTTGATTAATTGATTAATATAATAATTGTTTATTAACAATGAACTAGAAACCAAAACTTCAACCATATGATGCTATAGAAGTTAAGAAATTATCTAAAGAATTCCCTGATAATTATTGGCAATTTCATGCTAATAGTGGTCATGGAATGATAAATTATATAAATGAACAAAATCCACTTGAATTACTTGATGTAAAAGCAACAGATTACGGTAACTATTGTTATTAATGGTATAAAGATAATGTTAATAATTACTAAAGATTGCTCATTATATAATTCAAAGGCCCTATTAGTGGTATGGTTCTTTCGCCTGATGGCACAATGCTCGCTTCATTTAGTAATTTTGGAGTTATTAAAATATGGGATACCACAGAATTAACAATGCTTCAAACAATGAGAGATACTGAAGTAAGAATTTGAGTTTGAGTTTGAGTTTGAGTGGAGGAGATCTTTTAGGAAAAAATATCCAATGGTTTTTTTTTTAAAAGAAGAAAAACTATCATCTGACAAAATTTTATTTAACGATATAATCAGGAAAAAAACATTGAAGAATATTATGTGGGAAAATTTGCACCTACTCATACACATTTGATTGCTGGTGGAAAATTAAAAGATTGACACAAATGGGAATATAAAGAGTAAGGATAATTATATATTGCCAAATCCATTAAAGGTTAACATTAATATATTTATATAATAAAAAAAATAATGATTTATTAATTTTTTCAATGTTGTATACATATATTTATTTATATATTTATATACATTATGTTAGATTTTTGATGAAAATGTACTGATAAACTTGAAGGCTATAATTGAAGAAGTATTATCAATTAAAAGTGTTACATTTAAAGAAGAAAATTATTACATAGGTTCAAGCCAAGATGGAAATTTATTAAATGTAAGATGGAGGATAATTGGATGTAAGTAGCCATCAATTGATCAATTATTAAATTAAATTAAATTGATTAGTTATTAATAATTGATTATGTTAAAAAAATTTTTTTAGTACATTAAAGAAAAAGAATGCATTGATGATGGTGATAATGATATGGTGTTTCATTTCTTTCGAATAGATGATACAGTTAAATTATATTATTTTGAAACAGGCCAGGTAATAGTGACAGTAAAAAGGAAAAGGAGGAGGAGGAGGAGGAGGAGGGACAAAATGAAGAATCCGTTGGAGTACAAATGGTGATCGATGAAGTAGATAACATTAATTATGATGAAGAAAATGGTCCAGCTTTATATGGTGAATATAGAAACTGGACTAGTGAAGAAATAACAATCTTCTTGAAATACAATTTAGAATTGTGCTGAACTCCATGAGTTAGGTCTGCTACAGAATAATCAAACAATCCCAAAGAAATGGGATTTAATGAAACATAAGATCAAATGGCTCTTCAATGTATATTTCTGGAAATTGGATCAAATCAAAAAAAAATGTCATTTTAAAAATTCTTGAAAAAAAAAATAACCTTGACTTTATAAGAGATTGATCATAATTTTTCTACATGTTATCATTGATTGACTCAAAAATTTTAACACAAATAATGCATTATGGTGAACTTTTGAAAAAAATTTTAATAACTCTCAAGTAAGTTTTATCTTAAAATAATTTTGGTTTTTTTTTTCACTCCTCACAAGTTAATTATTATTGTTTTATTAAAGTACTGGTCGATTTTTTATGATAAATTGAATTCAATAAAACCTAGGAGTTCAATTTTTCTATTGTTGGTTTCCTCACCAACAAATCAAAATCAAGTTAATAACAAATCATCATCTTCATATATAATCAACAAAGAATCAAACTGCAATCAATACCTGGCCCATTGATGCAAAAAATAAATCAAACATTATCACAACATTATTATCTTCCATGATCTTTAATTTTAATCACAGGTGCAGATAGTGATTTGGAATTTTACTGCTATATCATCATTACCAGTCAGAGTTCAATTCTCAAAAGCAATTGCACAAATTATGACTGGTGACATTTTAAACTGTTTCTTCAACTATATAAAATTAATTTTTATTTATTTATATATAAACAATATAGATTATGGTGACATGATGATTATTATTACTTTCATTATATTCGGATAGTCAATCAATCAATCAGTCAATCAATCAATTATACAATAATAATAATGATAAAATATAGAAATGATAAAAAGGAAGAAATAATAAAATAATAAAAAAGATAATAAGCAAATAACAAAGTTTTAATATATTTTTTAATTGTATTTTTAATATTGTGATAGATCATAAATATCTGTTGTAGCAAAATTTTTTGATAATCTAATAAATAGTAATAACACTCTTATCTATCTATCTATCTATATTTAATTATCAACTTTAACAGTATTTCCAAATATTATAAAAATAAAAAAGTTTAGAAAAATCTATCCACCTCTAACTAACAACATTAAGCTAAAGAGAGAAAATGATTTTAGCTTTAAAAACTTGAAAAGATTAAAAATCATCAATCTTACAATAACCAACCTTTATTGCATCAGAATGACAAGTTGCATGACAAATAACACCATTTATTTCCACAGCATTTCTATACATCCATTCTTCTTCATTATCATTCCAAAACATTTGAAATTTTTCTTTACAAATGGGACAAGGTTTATTAGTTTTTTGAATATCAAGTGGAACAATAACAGTTGATTCACTGATAAGATTGTTAATATCATTTTTATTATTATGATCTATTTTTGCCTTTTTTGATCTAGAAGTTCCACTACCATCACCAATTCCACTTGTTCTTTTGTTTAATTTAAAATTGCTAGTATCACATTCAAAGAATGTTGGTGTATTTCCATTTTGAGAATCTGAATCTCTTGAATTAATAAAATCCTAAAATGTTTTGTTATTATTTTAGTTAATATAATAAAATTTTTTTCAAATTAGAAACCAAAAAATAAAATACAAACCTCCTCAGTGACAAACCAATTTCTACTTTGTGCCTTCCTGGCTTTTTCCTTTATCTTACGATTTTGTCTAAAATGCCAATCCAAATGCTTACCAATCTTTCCTCCTCCATCTTTTGAATCTTTAGCAAATCTAATCCCGCATTGTTTACATTGAGATGGGAATGCATCATAAAGAATTGAAATTACTCCTTCACGTTTACTATTATTATAATTATTAGTAAATGATTATATAATTATTATTATTACAGGTATAATGAGTTATATAATTACAAATATAGTTACCGCTGAAGATCATGATTTGTAAGTTGAATTCTTTCCAATTCATTTACATGTAATATCCCATTATTGGCAGATGGTGGAGAATTATGACGTTGTTGTTGTTGCTGCTGATGCTGCTGCTGTTGTTTTTGTTGTTGTTTTTGCTGTTGTTTTTGTTGTTGTTGATTATAATTATGATTAGGTGAAATAACACCAGCAGATGTAGTTACTGGTATAGAAGCAGAAGTGACAGGGTTAGTTAATAATGTATTAGGTTGTTGAAGGATTTGATGAAGTTGTGGCATTGACATAACAACATTATGTGGTGGCGAAGGAGTTGATAAATGTTGAGGAGCAACATTATTTAAAAGAGCTGGTAAATTATTGGTTGTAACTGCAGTAGTGGGTAAAGTTGTAGCTGTGGCAATAGATTGCGTTGTTGTAGATGCTGATATTAATATATCAGTATTATTAGCATTAGTAATAATAGTAGTAGTAGGGATAGGAAGAAAAATAAGATCTGTACCAATATTATTATGAGTAAAATTAGCAGTATTACTGGCAGATACAACAGGGATAGAAAGTGGTAGTGGTTGTTGTTGTTGTTGTTGAGGTGGTGGTAATGGTAATAGTGGTGGTGGCGGTGGATAAGTTGTAGTTGGAACTATATTATTATTATTGGCAGCAAGAACAGTTGTTGCAGCATTAGTAGGATGAGGTTGAATAATAGGTGCTGATTGAACAGATTGAATATTTGTTGGATTTGTTATATTGTTGATACCAAGCAACTGTCTGATTTTTTGAATCTCTTCACTTGGAATAGGTTTTTGTTGAATCAATTCACAAAGCTATCACACAGATATATATAATTGTGATTTAATTACAGATTAGGTTATTATGGAAACCCCAATTGTTAAAAAAAGAGAAAAAAAAAATCATTAATAAAATAATTCAATTGATAATTTATTTATAATATACCACCAATAAGAATAATATGGATCTGGTATTATTTCTAATTAATCTGATAAAATATACAAATCAAAATCAAACCTTTTGTAAGAATATAGTTTGATTTTGATTATTTGTATCTGATGGATTTGTTAAAGCAGTTTGTTGATGTAACAAAATCAATGCTTGACACTCTTGTAATAATTGTTGTTGTTCAGGTGGAGGAATAAACACTTGGTTATGTAAAGGAATTGGTGACTTGTTGACATACTAATGATCATTATATAGATTGATTATATATTATATTATATAAAAAAAAATGATGATATCAAGATCAATAATAGTAATGATAATAATGATAATTAAAAGATAATTATTAAAGTAATGAATTGATGGATTTTGAAAGGATTGCACTAAGGTATGTAATAAATAAAATTATAGAAAAGTAGAAAGAAATATGTGTATATATGTATTTGATTATAATAAAAAAAATCATGAATTTAATTTCTTCTTTGATTTTGATTTAGTTAATATTTATTTTTAATTTATTTGTTTCCCTTTTTTTCAGAGAAAAGTTCACCATCATTGAGCACAAATAATTTGTTCAATTTAAGTCAGGACGTTCGAATGTTCCCTTCTCTTTCTTTTTTGATGATATTTTGTTTTAATTTATATTTTAATATCATACGTCAAAAAGCAATCATGCTAAAAACACCATCAGCAAAAATAATTGTATGTTGTTTATAATAATCAAACTCCGACCATGAAAATGCAAACAATTTAATCCAAACAATACTATTATTTCACAATATGGAAAATAATAATAGAAATAGTAGGATCCATATTCATGATATTATATTGACAGAGTTTATGTGTAATGAAAGGCAAGAAAGAATAATCTCCAAAGAACAAACGAGAAAAAATTTAGTGATAATTTATTTACCTGTTGTTGTTGAGTGTTATAATATCCTATAATTGGATTTGTTGGAAGTGCAGGAATTCCATTTGCATATTTATTATCATCTACTGCCCATTGATTAGAAGTTGTTGGTTGAGGTAAAGCTTGAGATGGTTGTTGTTGGATTTGAGGTGGAGGTGGTGACGGCGATGGTGATTGTTTTATAGACGTCAAAGAATTTTGGTTCTATTAAGAGATAAATAAAGAGATAAAATAAAGAATAATAAATATTTGTTTCTATGTAAAAACATTTATGTAAAATATTATTTTAATGCTTACAATTCCATTCAAGAAACTTGGATTGATATGAATATAATTTCTACCATTAGCACCACCAACATTATTGCCATTAATAAGGTTATTAGTAGCAGCATTAATAGTAATTGGAGTAGTGTTATCAATTGGACTCCTTAATTGACGGTTATTATTATACCTTTGATTATGTTTCATTAGCGTTCCTTCAATTAAAGCAATTACATCATTAGAGAATATAGGTCCACAACCATTTAAACCAGCTTTCCAAGTAACCAACACTTTTTCAAGTTTTAATTTTGTGGCTTGGTCAACAGAATTATAGGTTTCCATAAAAATATTATTAAGATTTCTTGAGAATAGATGAACAAAAGGTCCACCAACATTTTTACTAATAGAATCAAGTAAATATAAAACGGGAAGTTTATGTTCAGGTGGACACTATTTATATTAATAAATTATTGAAAAGAAAAAAATAAGCATAATCGGATGAAATATTGAAGATGAAAAAATAAAACAGTTAATGCATTATTATTATTATTATTATTTATAGAGATGATGAAACTTACACTATGGATTTGTTTTTCTATTGCTTTAACAATTGCTTTTGCAGCTGGTATATTTTCTTGAGCTATAATAGTTAAGTTAGTAATAATAGGTTTTGAGTTGAAGGTCAAGTCTTGTAAAGACGCCAAATAGTCTTGGTAAACACTCTCAAGATCAACGTCAACATTTGCCATTTTTTTTTTTCTAATATTTTATTTACTAAAATAATTAATATTATTTAATACTATTTTATTGAAGAAATAAATTTTATTGAAAGAAAAATATTTTTTTTTTTGAAAGATAATTTAAAAAGAGTTATTTTTTATTTTTTTTTATTTTTTATTGTTATTGTTTAATAATTAAAGAAAAAAATTTTTTTCTTTTATGGATTTTTTAATTATATATATATATTAATTATCTATTAACTATTGTATGAGCTATCTATATAAATTTGGTAAAAATTCCTGCAAACTCCGGCCAATGAAACACTACATGAATGAATGATCACTCATCTGATGTCACTGATACCACAATCAATTAGAATATACCCGATGTGGACACATTCTAAATATAAAAAAATAAATAAGCAATCATTAATTACTACATGATGCTTGTTGGATCTTGAACAGATCCGGCTTGTACGAAACTCATCTACCTCTATTACTCTATATACAATGAATGACGTTTAGCTCTTTATGAACCTCCTTCACAGGAGCAAGTGCAATTTCTTGGGATGAAAGTATACATCAAAACAGTGATGGCGGTGTCATAGTTTTACATAGAAGCCAAGCAGGTAAAGGAGGTAATTGAGCTCACCAAAAAAGATGGTCTTGGTATGTATATATTATATGGGGCGTACTGCAACAAAAATAGACAAAGCGAACATAAGAATACAGGGATCAAAATTAGTACAATTAGCATTAGTACTACTACTACTAATACTAATATTAATATTAATATTAATATTAATAATACTATATATTAGACACCCCAAATATGTTGATTACACAAAAAATTTTCTTTCGATTATTTTTTGAAAAAAAAAATCTTTTTTTAACAATTAAATAGCTTATTAAATAATATATTATGGTTAATTTTTGCAAGTATAATCCATCTATAAATCAGGGAATCATAAATAATGAGGAAAGTATTGATTAAAAGGTTTCTACACATTAAAATCCATATAACAAATGAAAATTATCAGTGACTTGTAGAACGAATTATGGTGCAAAAATATAATACTATTTTTTCACGGGCAGAAATTATATAAATAAAGTGAACTTTTTATATTTCTCTGCTTTTATAAAATGATTGATATTCCCTGATTTATAGACAGATTGCATACAATTAAAAAAAATAATCACCTTTAAACAATTACGACATTTGGAATCTAGGAAGCCATTGATGAAAAAAGGATGTTCAACAGAGGCAGATGTAATTCATACTGAAAATATACTACAAGCAACAGCCCAATATTTAAACTTTTGGAATGTATCTTCAAGTTCAGAGAAGACTTTTGATGGTTTAGTTTTAAACCATGCACCATAATAATAATATTAAATCCAACGACTCGAAATAGTATTAGTTTATCTCGTTGGACGTTTTAACTAGAACAAGATCTCAAATCTACCAAAACTGCAACTTAAAAATATAAATTAGGCAGTGAAGACATTTTATCATATGATCAAGTTAATGGTTTCTTTTGACATTTGTTCATTCTATATAGCAACATTATTTTTTAAAAAAAAGGGACATAAAGGAATTTGGTTAATGTTCCACATCGTAATCAAAAAATGAAAAAAAAATGGTCTCAAAAGTGGTCCAACCATCATAAAAAGTTGCAGCCGGATCTCCAATTGATGACTTGTATGTCTTTGGCATTGTTGATGCTGCAACAGAATGGGTTTCCTTATGAGTAATAGGCTTCAAAGTAAGAAGTTACGTTAGTCCTAATTTTAAGAGACTTAAAGAAAAGTTTTTTTTCCAAAAATTGGATAATGTTTTACTAACTACAAAGATATTCTTAAAACTATCGAGACATTTCTAAAGTCAAACATTTGGATAAAGCAGAAACTACTTAAATAGTTTAGAGTTGTCATTCTTTATTTAGCGTCTAATTTTTTATCACTTCATTTGAATTGAGTATGAATCTGATTAAACAAGTCCAGAATAGTAGAGAACCACGGCAGAAAAATATTATTTTCTGGGACATAATACATGTAATATAAAACATCAATTTAATAAATATTGTTCTTAAAGATTCAGATGATTTATATATATTATTGGAAGATAAATGGGCTAAATATATAGTAGAATTTATTAGGATGCCGACATGTGATTAGGAAAGTTTGAACATGGGAAATCAGTGATAAAGGTACTGTTTATATTTATTAAAAGACACATTATGTATAATAATAACAATGGTACAAATTTTCCTCTTAAAAAAAAAAAACCACTAATTTTTCTGAAATTTTTTGTTTCTCCATATACACACGAATACTTTTTACATAATGGCTCAACAAATGTTCAAGCCAAGTTACAACAACTACAGCAGATAAACCAATCAAATCAAGCATTGTAAAAGCAACTTATTAATTGTATGTACTTATGATGTTTAGAATTTCACCACTCCATCAGGCGGGCTTCTGTCATACTATGAAAATATTACAAAATTATACAAGTGAATATTATTGGTAGGAAGATTTTCCTGATGTTGCTTTTTTTCATTGGTATCTGTTTTAGTATTTCATTCATTCTTTTTAGCTGAAATTAGAGCAATCAATTCCACAGTCAATAATCCCAGTACAACTGCCAGATAATGCTGGTAATGCACCTCAAAAATTTCCAGCACAGGATGAATACTTTTTAGTGATCAGGGTGATCTCTTTGGATTTATAACATCAGATTCTCTTGACAACTGAATACTAGAAAGTCTTGTCCTTCGCAAAATGGTCATGCTAACATAAATATGGCATCATTATTGTAAATATACATCTTTGTTATCTGTTATTTGTAAAAAAGTAATAATATTATTATAAATACAATAAAAATAATATATTATAAATAAAGATTTTTTTCTGAAGAACTTTATTGCATAAAAATTTAGATAGACCTATCCAGGGTATGAAATGCTTTTTTATTATTAACAAATATTATAGTTTAATACATAAACTAATTATCAATATAATTCTTTTTATAATCAGTTAAAATTAGAGAGTTGTTTAATGTCTCTTCTCCCAATTTAATTGTCTCTTCTCCCAATTTAATTGACTCCTTCCAATTTAATATTTTCTTCTAAGTTTTTACAAATTAATCTTAAAGAAATAAGTTCTGCATGTTCTTCGGATGAAAATTCTGGCTCAGAATTTTCATCTGAAGAATGTGCAGAACTTATTTCTTTGATATATCCATCTCTAACTTTTTTCAAATCATTTATATCTTTTTTAAGCTTTTGTATTTCTTTGGCTTTTGTTTTGCTTTGCATTTCAATATTTTTGTTTGATGCTTCTTTGTGATCTAATATAATTTCATCATAATTACTGTTATATTCTTCTTGTAAACTTTCCAGCTTTATTACAGAAGGTCCTACATTTGGATCACCTTTTTTTATTTCTTCTTCTAATTTTGTTTTTATAGCACATACTTCTTTATTTAATGTATCATTTGATGAATTTAAATATTCAATAAAATCTTCACATTTATCAAAAATCTTTCTATAATGTTCCCTCTGTTGTTCTTTTATAGTATTAGTTCGTTTATAGCCTTTAACATTATTTGATGAATATAATTCCTGTGGTATTTAATATATATATAATTATTATTTAGTGCAAACATGAGGATTTTTTTATCATATCACAGATATATTTATATGTTTAAAATAATAGTAATAAGGAAAGCTTACACAATTTTTACCATCTTCCATCCTTGAACTAATTTCATGAATAAACTTTAAAAAGGCTTGGTTTGTTTGAAATTCTGCTGATTTATTATTTAATATTGATTCACATTCAGAAATCAGAGGTGTATGATTACCATCACTTGAATCAATATTATCTTCAATACTTGAGATTTCAATAACATTTTGACTTTTCATTTCCTTCATATTTAGCTCATCATCACTAATGGTACTTGTAGATAATTTTCTACGAAGTTTTCCTGAATTATTGTTATTCTATAAAAATATTTAATAATTTAATACATTTGATATATTTGATATATTAACTCATATATATACACTACCATTGAATATTTTTTTGAATTCCATTCCATTATTAAATCATCAGAAATATTACATGGTGGCTCCTAAGACACGATAGAAATTTTTATCAGTAAGATAACTTTTTAAAGATACAAAATGACTAATGACAAAAGCAAAAGAACTACAATTGTAATAAATACCCAAGTCGGATCCCAATCTTTCCCATTTCTATCTCTACCTTCCCATTTTACTAAATATTTTAATTTGCCTTTTATAATTTGTTCGTCTAAAAGACATTCAGCAGACCAGAATCTGTCATTATTTTCATTTGAGATTTTTTTACAGTAACATTTGAGTAAGATATGGATCCATTGTTTCTTAAAAAAATATTTTTTTATACTGATGGTAATATTTACCGGTCTGATTCTAATGCTCTGGGTTCTTTGCCTTTTGCTGTTTTTTGATTTCGTCGTGGCATTGCTTTTTAAAAAAATAAAAAAATAAAAAAATAAAAAATGAACTAATTAAACTAATCGCGTGAATTGGTGAGGTGTTCGGGCACAAAAATTCAGATTGGCTAATTGAATTTCACGCGCGTGAATTTTAAGGGACCTTTGATTTATAACAAAAAATTGATTAAATGATACCCAGTTTCGGTTGAATAAACCATAATGGGCAACTTTTTTATGACTTGCTACAAGGCGAAGACACAACAAATAGGACCCAAAGAAATTTAAATTTTATGAAATTTTGAGGTTTTTATTATTATTTTATTTTGGTTTTTTGAAATAAAATGAATGAACTTCCCATGGTCTCCTATCCTTAAAATTCACACACTGATAGAAAAATACCAGAGAACTAGGCATTAATAAATATATTTGATTTTTTCATTAGAAGTATGATCCTGAAGAAGGTATGTTTATTTATTAATAATCAGAGATTTTTTTGTATTAATTAATCATTGATATTATAAAATCAAAATATGGAATGAAATTATATCTTCACATTATATAGATAATTAATATTTATCATAATAATAAATAAATGATTGGTATATTTATTTGGCATGATCATTATTAATATTAAATAATAATAAAATTATAAGAAATGTCAAAAGTAAAAAGCAACATAACTATTGAAAAAAGCAATATGTAACGTTTGATTATTGGAAATTTACAGATATTAAAAATTACTTCAGGGCTCAAATATTTAAATTGTATTGTTGTCAAAGAGAATGAAAGCCTCTCGCTTGTCCAAAGCCTACAACATCACAAAAACTTCACCTGTAGAAAAAAATTTTGTGATCGCATAAGAAGAAGTTTACTAAATCTAACAGACACCCATGATCAATATCAGGTTTATTCATTTATTTTCTTCGAAATGATTTTAAGGAATTATACAACTTGTACATAACACACATTAAAAAAAAGGAACCACAACCATTAAAGCCTTTCCACTATCGCTTGGATGGTGACAGGGCAATGGAACTATTATTCTACATGGAAAGAAGGTTCGGGTGAAAAATATCAAAGATTTTTTTCCAATTTTACTTGCCAGGACTTTTTCAAAATTGATTTCTTAAAAGTTTCATTTGGCTTACGAAACAATGTTCGCTATAAAGCAATGATTTATATATTAATATGGGGTATATAAATTGGGTTCAAATCCTCAGTTATAAAGCAAGATCCGTCATAGAAAAGAGAATATGTAAAATAAAACCAAGATATTTTGTAAAATTGCTAATCACCTTCATAATTCATATTAATGAATTTCGAATCTACGAAACTTTTGCATTTTCTTTTTGTGACTCGTTTGTTCAAGGTTTTACACAATGGTAGCCGATTCAAACTTGCATTATTTGTAAAAAATCAACAGCTTTTATTTTGGTCAACGAACCTCTTTACTGGCCTGTATAGCCATTTACAAATCATGGCCGATTTACAAACACAATGCCTCGCAACCAGACTTTCTAACCTTATACCAAAAGTTCGCACAAAACAAAAATTTACAACGAAAGCGAAATTTTTTCATTCTAATTTATTTTACTACTTGTTTCTCTCATTTTCTTCTTTTGAAAGAGACCCAGGAACAAATTCTGATTTAGATTTCTACAGTAACAACAGTATTTATTATAATAAAATTAAATGATAATTATGTGGATAAAATAGATAATCAATAATTTTGCCAATTATAAATCTTGAACTCCTTAAATGTCGTTACCGCTAACATCCACCTCTTCTTCACCAAAACCAACCACAATTGAGGTGACTGATTTAGATTTACCTCAATTGGCTGAAGTGAAAAAACAATTGGAAGAGGTAATGAAATTAAATTAGTTTTTTATTTTTATTTTATTTTTTTGCTTTACTTTTTTATTTTACATGTAAGGTTTATTAATTAATTTAGGAACTTACACACTTGACAAGTTCTTTTGCTCAATTGACCAAGGCTCAGAAAAAATTTCAAGATTGTATAGATGGTGTGAAAACAATTAGAGAAGAAAATACCGGTAATTTATCTATCTATCTTTAGAATCCTTTTAGTGATAATTTATAAAAGAATCAATTAGATTTTTAATAGATTTCTTTTTTATTTAGAAAAAGATATTCTTCTGCCATTAACTGAGTCTATATCCTTTTAATCTAACAATAATGATTTATATCAAAAAAAGTAATTAAAATTTCCTTAATCCATATTCTCAATCACCTTTATGTTCCAGGAGAATTAGTTAAATCAGAGAAAGTAATAGTTGATGTTGGAACAGGCTATTATATTGAAAAGGTAATAAATAAATAAATTAATGGATATTATTAAAATAGATAATAAGAAGAATTTGTATTAAATCAAATTAATAATGAATAATAGTCTTATGGAGATGCAATTAAATTTTATGTGGAAAAAGTAAATTATGTCAAAGAAAATTTAGATAAATTGGAAAAAACAATCAATAGTAAACAAAATAATTTAAAAAGTAAGTAATCAACTTATTTATATTAGTATTATTAGGAAGGTTTAAATTGATAATTATTTTTATTGACAAATTCTTTGTCATAAATTATTAGTAATTCTTGACATAATGCAAGTAAAGATTGTTCAAAGTACTCCTACTGCAGCAGCAGCTTCTGCATCATCTTCTAAATAATTATTGATAGTAGACAAAGGTTTTTTTGATATTAAATTGTAAATTTTATTAAATTCATCTAATATCCCTCCCCTCTTATAATGATAGGAAAATTTTGATATTATTAATATTAATCTAATAGAAAATTTATATTTATCATAGATACCAGAAAAAATTAAATTCTATACAAAAATCGTCTTTTAAATTAAATAAGAAAATTGTTTTATATAAAATAAATACAATGACTAATAAATAAATAATAAATATGATAACCATCACTCTTTCTTTCCTTATTTTTTTTTGTTATACGGGAACCAAAATTTTTATCTTTAAATTTCACCATTTATATTACCGCTATCCAAATGGCGTGGTACTGGTACAACAACTTCAATATCCAATCCTCCATGTTCTTCGTCATATGTAACTTCAACTTTAATACTATCTTTCCCTCCCTTTTTTTGTAATTCTTCACTAGGCTTATATAATAATGAATTTAATATTGCATTAATGTCTTTTTTGGTTGGATAATTAACCATAATTGATGTTTCACTCCATTCTCCCCCATGATGACTAAATGATAATTTTCCTTCCTTTGCTTTGGCAACTATAGTACCTTTACTTGCTTTAGCTGATCCACCACGAATAAAAATCAAATCTAATCCTTGAAATTGTCCATTAACCGATCCTACATATTTATCAACCTCTTCAATAGCAACCGCTGAAACAAATCTATATTTTTTTGGGCCTTCCAATTGAAACTCGTATCCCAATTTCCTATTTTTATAATCTAATTTACCTTTAGATGTTAAAAGTGCTGGCGGATGCGGTATATCCAATGAAAATTTCTTAAATAATAATGAAATTACACTGTCATCTTCTATCAATAAATCATTTGTCATTTTACCAAACAAATGAATACTCCATGATGATTTTTCTAATTTACGTAGTTCTTTAGAGGCTGTGGGATTTGGTTTTAATAATTTATCAATATGTACATAATCGTGTGGATATAGAATTCTACCGGGAAGAATACGTAATCCACTTCTCTCCAAAATTCGTCGATGCTCTTTAACATACAATGTGATAGCACGAGGTCCCACACAATTAAAACATGATGTTGTGTATGTTGGTGAAAATGCTCTTTCTGCAATATCCTTAAACATTCTCCATCCTTTGCGAAATCTCATGACCCCTGGTGCAAGATATGTTCCATCTGCATCCAGCGTCCATTCTAAATCTGATGAAACATCTGATGCATCCGATCCTATAAATTGAATTTTAGTATCGGGTGGCGCTCTGATCCAAAGTGCATCCATGTCCATATACATTCCACCGTATTGATATAGCAGATAATATCTCATATAATCTGTAAGATGTGAAAAGAAAAATGGCGACGCTTCCCATTTATTCCAATCAAGTAACCAATCCTTGGAATTTTGCCCAAGAAACCATTGTTTTTCCAATAAAAATTCTTTGCTAAACCTAATCACATAAATTTGATATCCTTGTTTCTGATAATCTGAAAAAAAATTTTCTGGTAAAGTTGTTGAAAAAACAAACACAACGGCTTTTGGTGTATGAACCCATATGAGTTCTATTGTTTTATAATGCCTTTCCTGAAACGTGGATGGATCAGTTGTCCAACACATCCAATGTAATAAATACCATTGTTCTGTTAATGAGTAAATTGATGAATGCTGTGACAAAATACCTGGTATAATCCATTCATCCTCTTTACTACCAATAGTTACATTGACTGGATCATCAAAAACTACAACAGATAACGGATTCTCAATAACAAAGCCTGGCTGATTCAACAATGTTATACCTTTGACCTCATCACAATCAAAGTTCCAATCCCTCCAATGATTTTCTCTGCCCCAACATGGATAACACAATGCACAAAACCTTTGTCTAAAACCTTCACACATTCTCCTATTATTAATAACATTCTCGTACATTTCTTTCATACTTCTATCTGGTTCATATGAATCACTAAAATGTTTGGCAATCATATCGTCTTCACAGACGTCAGCTTGTTGGATACGTTTATCATGGGTTGGTTTTATATTGTATGGGAAGAGCCATATACCTAGGTTTTGATCTTCGTTTTTGGTAAAAAGACGTGGTGCATCAGTAACAAGAAGTGACAATATGTCACGAGATAATATGTAAAGAGCTCCAGCTGTGAATGGAGGAAACATTGGTAATTTATAATCAAATGCTGAATTTTTATTATTTGAATTACGAATTGGTGGGATATTCCTATGATTAATAAATAAATATGTATATATAAATAAATATAAATATAAATATACATACATACATATATATATGAAAATTGGTCCAAATAAAAT